GGGGAGCTATGCAAAAAACGCGTCTTCGCACGGGCAGCCCGTGCGTTGGCCAATTATTGTAATTGCCGCAAAAACTCTCTGCACCCGAAGAAATATTATGAGTGGCATAAAACTTTGAGCATAATCTTCTAGATTGCGACGATGAAGAAACTACATTTTGCGAAGAAGCAATGGGCGTTCCAGGAGCGTACTGTGTTGGCGTACCATTCAGCCCCAATTTGTTCAAAATGATGTGCTATCATTTGAGAACGGAAGATTATCTCAATACGCCCTGTAAGTTTTGTCTGTGGTTCGATTTCGCTGAATTTTTGTGTTTTTATGCAGTTTCTGCTTATTACTGACAAAAATTGATCGTTAGCTGGAAGAATCAGTTTGGCACGCAAATAAGTTTTAGCTTGCAATTTTCCACGTGTTTGCATATTTGTAGTAGAACAAGTAGTTTGCGTAATTTCTATTTCTTGAAGAACTGCGCTGCAATTTGTGGTGGACTTTGCAATTTTCCTTTTGCAAGCTAAAAATGAGCCTGGAGAAGGAAAATTCTTAGCTGTTGGTTCTCTCATTGCATCCCCTTTTCATCGTATTCTGATTTTAGCGCTCAGGCTCTCCTATCTTACGTGGAACTCGCGCAGATAGCGCATAATACATTCTGTACGAATTCTTTCTCGATTTCATGCATCTTTGTGCTGCAATAATTGCACGAATCGTATTTTGTCGAGACACCGTTCTTTTGTATTTGTGTTCCAAGTGAGTTATTATCCCGGTTCTAAACTCGGAAACTGGAAGAGCTAGGAAGCTGTAATTTTAGAATGACATTTCATATGGAGACTCTCCGCCTAAGCCGCAGGCTATACTTCTAGAGGAACCCTCTTATGTCAAGCAGAGATTTATGTTCTGACGCTCGCTAGGGTGACGATGATGATTCCAGAGCTTCCGCAAGCTATTTCTAGTCTGAAATCGTAACGGAATTGTGCTGTAGCTGCTGAAGAAGGTACTCGAGTGCGGGACATGCCGAAAAGACAATCCGCTCTGAGAAAGGGCAACGCTAGAACGTTGCTTCGCGATAATGACCTCGACGGACGTGCGAAGTCAGGGGAGCCACAAAAACGCAAGACATGCCATGCTCGGAGATAATGGGATATGGAAGACTATTCGATCAACAAGACAAGTATTCTGTGCGAAAATTAGGGGAAAAGCTGTAATATACGATGCAACTATGTCTTGCCTACTAGCTTAATAAATTTGAATTTGTTGCTGACTTAAGAAATTGAAATTCCGCCTGGAAAAACCAGTATCATGCAAATATGATACTGTAGAATGATACTCTCGTCCCCATTTATACAAAACACTAAGAAACTTACAATTTTGGCAAAGTAATTCAAGACAATAACCCAGGCTGGAACGCACCAGACTTGTCGCTGCGATCATGCGTTTTTACACTAAATTCGCGGGTCGCTAATAGCAAGAATAATCCCTGCACTGCAGCCAAGGAATTGGGCTCATCATATTGGCCATGCTTTGGTTTCTTTCGGCATGCAACACAATGGGTATCGGCTGGGATGAGGGTGTTGCGCAGAGCCGCATGGACCTGCAGGACCTGATTAGCAGTTGTGCGTTTTTGCTGTGCGCCATAGCGCTACTACATCCAGCAAAAACGCGTATTGTCGAGAGGCTATCTGCATGTGCATTCTGTCACCCACTTTCATCTCAGCAACCAGGAAAGCTGGGAGGCTGAAACTACGGATACACGTTCCTACCCTATGTGTCATCCTCTCGTTTTAAGATCATTCCACACACGCACCTAAACCTCGCGTACGGGCCCTTCAAAAAAATACGTTGGCGGGAAACGACATCGCGAACCGGGCAAGATAGAAAGCTGAAAATTTGCAGCTTTATCCTCTGTGCACGTGCGAATTAAAGATTTTAAACTCAGTTGTCGAGCACCCCAATCTCATCCCCAAACAGCTCCTCAACCCAAAAATCGTTAGCAACCCGAACCCGAACCGCAATCGTATATGTAATGAACATTAGTTAATTTGCATACATGGTTTTTTTGACAAACGACGCTCGAGCAAAACTTCCACTTTCTAGTGAACTGGAAGTTTGCATTTGTTCAAAAAATTTGCATTTGTAATTTTTTCACAAAGTGAGCATTTATCGAAACTTAGTCGAAAGCGTACCGGCTGCCGGTAAGAGGATGCGTTTTTTGCACAGTTCCCCGCAGCCTTTTTTCGCCAGTGGCACGCTATTCCCGGCAGATGCTTCTAGCTAAGAGGATTGTGAATGGCCACCGTGACTGTTAGAAATTATTACAATGACTCCCAATCCATGCCCAATAAATTCAGCGCCCTGGATTCTTCGGTTGCAGAGTTACGTCAAATTTCACTTATTCATGTGTGAGTGGCAATGCGAGTACTTTCCTCATCCTCAGTTGGTCAAACACGGTCCTGAGTAGCAGTATCAGCACTCCAATGTATCAGCACTCCAGCTGCTCTGGTTGAAGAGTTACGTCAAATTTCCCGTGTTTGTACGTGAGTGGTAAATGAATGCTTTCCTCGCTTGCTGTTGTCAAACACGGCCCTGGGTAACGCTTAGAAAGTTTCAGCACCCCAGCTGCTCTGGTTGCAGAGTTGCGTCAAATTTCACGTGCTCGTACGTGAGTGACAACGTGAATGCTTTCTTCGCCTGCAGTTGGTCAAACACGGCCCTGCGTAGCGCTCAAAAAGTTTCAGCACTCCAGTTGCTCTGCTTGCGGAGTTACGTCAAATTTCATGTGTGTACGCGTGTTCGTACGTGAGATGCAGAAGGGTTGATAAGTAATCTACTTTCTCGAACACAACAGTGGACACCAAGTAACACTGCAAAGTTGCAGTTCTCTGCAGTTTATTGGTCGCCTCAGATTTGGAGTTGGCACGGTGCCAGTTTAAACTTTGACATGTGCGTACGTGAGTGCGGAGGGTGCGTGAAGGTTGAATTTGAAATCTTTGGATTAGATGCGGCTAAGGAACAACTCTGTGACGTTCCAGCCTCCTAGCATGGGCCGTCCCCGAAAACGCTTTCCCGCCAAAAAAACTTTCACGTGCCC